CCCAGCTCGTCCTTGGGCATGGAGCCCAGCTGGCGCCAGGCGTCCGGCAGGCCGTCGGCCACCAGGACCCCCTCGGGGAGGCCGCTGTCGCCCATGAATTTCTTTGGGTCCCTGGTCAGGACCACGTTGTGGCGTCCCTTGAGGGGCCGGAACCGGGTGGGGATGGAGTTCCAGGTCTTGCGGCCCATGACCACCGCGTTCATTTTCGCCCTGGGCTTGGYGCCCGGTTCCGCGCCGGCGTCTTCTTGGGGAGGAGGGTGGTTCCCCTTGGTGATCCGGGCAAAGTACTTCATGTCGCCCGGCAGGCTCCAGGGGAGGTCGCCCTTGAAGCCGATTCCGCGGGTGGCGCTCGACGCGGCAACGATTGCCGTTGCCGCCATGTCCTTGTTGATGAGCATGGTAGTAGTGGTAGTGGTACTTGTTGTTGTTGTTGTTTTGTTCGTGTCGTGTCGTGTTGGGTTGGGTTGGGTTGGGTCGGGATTGCGGGGTTTGTTTCTCTTTTGCGTTTTTGTTTCAAAAAATTTTGTTTCAAAAAATGCCTTGCAGCAATGAGTAAGCGGATTTTTGGGCGCGAAGGGATTCGAGCCACAATGGATGGAGACGCTTTCGAATCCGAATCGACCGGAACTCTCGATTATACTACGGTAGGATTACAGTAGGATATTACGAGGAGACGTGCCGGGACAAAAAGTCCCTGTACTATACTTCTACTCCTAATCGTACGAGTATTACTCGTACAGCAACGTCTCGCAAAACTGTGGTKGTGTCATTGGGTTCGATGTTCGATTCGAATCGTTGCAGGTATTCCTATAATCTATGATAGGTATGTAAACACARTAGTGTTGGAGGCTTTCATGGTTACCGTTTACCGTGTAGCGGCAAGCCAAAACAACATCGGTTGAGTGATTGATGATTCTTCATTCAGCTTCGCGCCAAAATCGAAATTCGAAGACGGTCGCATTGTCGTACGAAGGACGTACCGGAATGTGGCGTCACAACAACGAAGGTGCGGACTGTTTTCGAATCGAAGGAATTCGTACGGAAATAAATACTTTAATAACGAAAATTGTTTGTGTTTGAATCGGAGGAAAAAACCTACCGGTACCGTAACGTAACGCACCGCAACGCAATACCGCACCTCTTTCCTCGCTCCCAAACTACAAGCAACCTGTCACGAAGCACCTCCCTTCCCCGCTGGTGGTGACCTCCGAAATCCATACAACAGYATCGWAAAAGAASAAGAACAAGAGCGCAAGCACCCAATCCCACTATTGCCAAGAGCTTCCACGAACCAAGCTGCTTTCCCTTTGAATCGTCAGTCAGCGTTGCATTCCGTTCCGTTCCGCTCCGCTCCCATCCCCCGTCACCATGGCGATCGCAACCACTACTAACAGCAGCAGCAGCAGCAGCATTGGCAGGCACGGCCGGGAGGCCCCCCTGATCCCCACCTCCGGCCGGGAGCTCCTGCTGGACCTGAAGCGGAGCACCGCGCAGAACGCAAGCGCGATGCGCAGCGGGGCCGCCCCGACCCTCCCCGCCTACAACCACAAGCTGGTCCAGGCCTGCCTCCGGGACCTGCACGCGACGGCCCGGGAGCTCGACCTGCAGGCCCGGGTCCACGGCAGCCAGGCCGGCGACGGAACCGAAACCGAAAACGGAAGCGGCAAGCCCCGGAAGCCCTCCATGCCGGCCCGGCCGTCCATCCTGCTGCACCACCGGACGATCCAGCGGCAGAAGCAGTGCCTCCTGGCCTACCACCACCACCGCACCGAGATCCTCAAGGCCATCGAGCGCTCCCGGATGGCGGCCAACGAGGAGGCCCCGGTGGGAGGGCCCGGGGCCTCTTCCCACGCGGGGGAGGCCGCCTTTGCCCGCGACTACGCGGCCCTGCGGAGGGCCTACTCCGACCGGGTCTTCGAGCTGGACGCCCTGCCGCCCACMAGCCACATGGTGCAGGTCCGYGTCGTCGCTCCAAGCAGCGGGAGGACCGGAAGCGGGGACGGAGACCTGGTCGTCCTCCCCGACAGCGGAAGGGTCGTGTCCCTCGCAAAGGGGGCCCGCCTCTTTCTGGACCGCTCCGACGCGAGGGACTTTTTGCGGCAGGGGATCGTCGAGCTGTGCGACGGAGAAGAGGTGGACTTTTGAGAGGGTGGAAGGCAGAACCTAACCTTCGATGGAATCGAATCGAATCGAATCGAATCGAATCGAATTTAATCGAACCACCGCATGAGCAGCAACGAGAGCAAGAACAAGGGGGCAACGGAAACGAAACGAATCGAATCGAATTGAACTGAATCGATTCGAATCGAGAACAAACAGAGCATGCAACAGCGATCAAACACAGCGCGACACGAAACACCAAGCTTTGCGGTTGGTAGAACGTGCACAAATCGATTCATAAAGATATAATATACTCTAGCGATTATTTTTGTTTCTGATTACTGTATATTAGGCGTAGTCGGAAAGGTGTTCATTGCTGGGACGGCTCCAACAAGAAACAGAATGCCGTTCCCTTTCGGGACTACGGTATTGACTGGCTTTCGATGCATGCGTGCGTGGTCTGAAGTCGACCATTGGAATGGAATAGTCGATTGGTTGTGTGGAAGCTACGTAAACAGTGCAACAGGGATGCGCATTAGTGCTTGTGTTTCAAAATTTGCTTAATTGGTCGCTTTAATAATATGTATGTATTCTGGGTATCTCAGGTTTTTCCCGACGTGTCTTGTCGACGTTTCTGTTGTTGTTGCTGTTGTTCTTGTTGTTCTTGTTGTTAAATTCAAAAGTGTCCATAACTCTTGGACGGTGATTCTCGAGGCCTCTGGCGCAGTGAGATGGCTCCGCATCTGTTCCTTTGCTTGCCCGCCCGCTCATGGCTGCACCGAAAGACTGCCTACCACAAGGCCCCCTTGGCGTTGTTCTTGGCATCGACACTGGCATCGGCAGCCGCAGCCACCGACTCGACCGCAATCGAGCAAGACTTGGCGGAAGCCAGCTTTTTGCTGACGGAGTTCTGGAGTTTCTTGCAGAAGGCAACCTCGATGGCCTTTTTGTCAGCGGGGCCGGTGTGGAGGGAGCGGACGTCGAACTGGCTTCCCATGGCGTCGTCGTCGGGGCAGTGGCGGCACAGGAAGGCCTCTACGGGACTCACAATGTCCAGGACGAGGGTGTTGGTGTCCCTGGCGGGGGCCGCGGCTCCCCCCATCGAGTCGTCGTCGGGGCAGTGGCGGCACAAGAACCCTTCGGGGCTGGTGGCAGCGGCAAAGGGAATCTCGGCACCGGTCAGGTAGTGGTTGGCCCCCCAGTTCACGTCGTTGTAGGCGGAAACAAAGGCCTTGGYGAGGATGGCTTGCTCCTCCCTGGTGGCATCGCCGGCACCCACCCCCTTCAGGACGATGGTCGAGTCCACGGTGGCGACCTTGTTGGCGGCGGAAGAGACCCGCTTGTTGCTCCTCGGCTTCTCGCCGTCGACGTCGAAGCGGATGGCGCAGGACTTGGCGGAACCGAGGTACCTCGATGCACCCCCGGCCGACCGGATCTTGTGGCAGAAGCGGACCTCGAGCTCGGCGGAGGCATCCTTCCGGCAGAGCCCGGCGCAGTCGTYGGTCACGGCCGTCATCAAGAGAGAGTCCGTGCCCATGGCGTCGTCGTCGGGGCAGTGGCGGCACAAAAACCCGACGGGGGTTTTGACCTCGAAGACACCGGTGGAAGCGGATCCTCCCATGGAGTCGTCGTCGGGGCAGTGGCGGCACAGGAAACTGTCGGGTCCCTTGAAATCCACGGCGTGGCTTCCAGTCATGTAGTGACCGGCTTCCCAGTGGACGTCGTTGTAGGAGGCAACGAGGGCCTTTCCGATGAACTCCATGTCTTCGGCGGTGGGTTCACCAACGGTTCCCTTGAGGATGACCTCGCTGTCGAGGACCTTGCCGTTGTTGGAGTCGATGCTATTGGCAAAGGCGGAACGGAGGGAGGCGCCTCGGGCCGATGCGAGCGCGAGAGAAAGGATGGCGAGGCAGAACTTCATGGTGTTGGATTGGATAGGATTGGATTGGATTCGTTCAATCTGCTGTTGGAGGCGGAAGCTGGGATTGTGGTTGTTTGTGCTTTTCAGCGGAATGCTTTTTGGAATTGTGAGAACAAGAAGAAACATTCCTGTCGGTGGAATGAGTTTCAGAGCTTTCAGATCGTGATAGTGGTGGCCATGCTTTGACGACCGAGAAGGTTTACAACGTCATGGAAGCTTCTCATAATGAAAATAGTGGAGATGGTTGGTACAAAAGTGAATCGGGGGGAATCGGAATCGAAATCGAAATCGAAATCGAAACGGGCGAGAAGGTTTTACTTCGATGATAACGGTATTTCTGAAGCTTCTCATTTGAAGCTTCTCATGTTGGAAAAAATAATAGATAATACTAGTACAGTATTATGTAAGTACTATTATGCACTTCTTAATGCCGACAAATACAGAATACTGTATTGGAAGCTTCTCAGAGGGGCCCTTCCAATTTTTTCATCGACTGGCGAAGAAGTCTTTTGAAAGTACACCTTGTAGTACGTACTTTTACTTCCAAAGGCATTGGAAGTGAGAAGAGAATCGCAAAAACAATGTTGCCGCACTGGTGCTACGATACGGCAGTAGCAGCCAGTCGTCGCACGCTGCTAATACAGCATGAGGAAACATCGCGAGAGACRCGTTGAAACGGTACTAGGGGGCAAAGAATAAGAAAACCAGACAGCAAAAACCTAGGGTTGAAATATGGAATGTACAAATAGTTGGTCGTTGTCTCGGCAGATGTAGTATTCTCGCACGTTTGATTTGCATTTTCTACTACTTAGTTCAATGCTATGATGCTTTTGGGTCATGTGCGAAACAGAGAGGATGAAACACCAGTTACAGGCCGACCATCGACGTTTCATTTTCAAATCGAGGGTATGAAATGCCTGCGCCGTCGATGCCGAATATACTAGTATTCAAGGAAAGTTTCGCATGGAAAGTCGACTGGTGTTTGGCCAAGATTCATCCCGTATTCGACGCAACGCAACCATAGATCTTTCCGTGGAGTTCCGTTCGCGTTTCTTCATTTGAAGTTGGCCGGTCTCTTTTCCAAAAAGGCCGCCATGCCCTCCTTTTGGTCGTCCGTCGCAAAGAGGGCGTGGAACAACCGTCGCTCGAACCGCAGGCCCTCCTGAAGGGACAGCTCATCGGCCGCATTAACGGCTTCCTTCGCGGCCCGGAGGCTCGCGGATCCCTTGCTCGCAATGTTGGTGGCCATTTTGATCGACTCGTCCAGCAAGGACTCTTCATCGTAGACCTTGGCCACCAAACCGCTGGCGTAGGCCTCCTCGGAGCCGATCATGTCCCCCGTCAGACACATGTGCATGGCCTTGGATTTTCCAATCGCCCTCGTCAGTCTCTGTGTTCCACCCGCTCCAGGGATGATCCCGAGATTGATTTCGGGTTGTCCGAACTGAAAACGAGAAAGCCATAGAATCGAACATCGTTTCCAAAAGATTAGGGATTAGAATAAAACTTAGGACCCAAGGGGTGTTTTACGAACTGAAACAGATCGTATAATCGAGCTCTTTCTCAACACAATGAATCTTGCTCGAGATTCGATTCAGTGCAATGCAATACATACCTTGGCACCTTTTGCACACAAGATGATGTCGCACATCATCGCCAGTTCGTTTCCACCTCCCAGGCAATACCCCGAAACGGCCGCGATGATCGGCGTCCCCCCAAGCCTCGAGACATCCTGCCACTCGGAAAACATGTCGGTCTGGTAGACGTCCTCGAAGCCCCGGTCCTTCATCTCGGAAATATCGGCACCGGCGGCGAAGCACCGTGGGGTGGATCCCGTCAGGACCATGCACTTGATGTCCGGGTCTTTGTCGAGGACCGTTGTGGCGTGGATTATGTCCCGGAAGAGATCGTCGTTCAGGGCGTTCATGGCCTTGGGCCGGTGCAGCTTGATGACCGCTACCTTTCCATTTCCCTCCTGTGGTTTTTCCACGATGATGTTGTCGTAGGATTCCTYAAGGGACGACGACGACGACGAAAGGCTGCGGTTGAATTCGTTTCCAAGCACTGAAGTTGGCAACCTGTTTTTGCAGCTTGCGACGACGTTGCGAGAAATAAAGCGAGCACCTTGGCGTGAAAAGAACATTTTCTATAAGATGTGCGATGACGATGTTGTGTGTGCAATGAAGTACCCCCTTTTACGGTTGATACAGTTGTATTTATGCAAGCCGTTCTCGTGCGAGGAGAACAGAGTAATCTTATTGCATGTTGAGACAGTTTTTTCGTTTTTAGGCACTCAAAATGAGCTTCGACACTAGGACACAGAAGGGAGGATACGAACATCTTATGGGAATGGATTCGATTTTTGTGTCACTTGTCATTCGAGTCACCAAAAAGAGAACAAAGGAGCGWGGTCTCGTGTCACCAAACGCAAACGAGATAGATCGCGCCAGGACTGGCGCTTTTTTCTATTGGTACTCGTACTTTTACGTCTCGACACAATGAAAAATATGTGAATTATGGCCCATTAAGGCCCATTTTTACATAAATTTTTGTTACGGGTCGAATCTAGAAAACACTCCACAAAACGTCACCGGTCCTGTCCCGTTCCGTACACACTACGATTTTGCTGATTTCACGTGCCAGCCCCGTAAAGGCATGGTCACAGAAAGTCTTAAAGTGATGTAACACTGTTAACTGGATAAACTAAAAAGAATGAGAATTCTCTTAAACTACTTTTGGGTCCTTCGGGTTCCTCCCCTGGACCAACTTTCTCTATGCCACTCGCTTTTTCTCATTCCACACCTATTTACCATAAATTGATGAAACCGCGCCATCATCTCGATTCGCTAACTACCGTTGCGGTTCGCCTCGTGTTAATCTCCGGGTTCCAACACACTCCTGTGATCTTATCCAGCAGCAGCGTGCTTGTTTTCTTCTAATTGCTGCTTGGCAAGATCATCCTCCATTGCCTTCAATTCTCTTAGTTGTCTTCGGTCCTCAAGTTCTTTTTGGGCTTGGACATTGTAACTGGGTACGTCGACCTCCTTAATACCAAGGATGATGTTGCGGAACTTCCGGAACAAGCTTCCTTGCAACGGTTTAGTGAAGTAGTCCGCAATCATGTCCAGTGTTGGGCAATACTCGACAATCACCTCTTTTGCCGCGATCCTGTCTGTCACGAAGAAGTATCGTATGTCCATATGTTTCGTTCTTTTACCACTGGATCGCTTTCCATTCCGGGCAAGCTTGATTGCGCTCTGGTTGTCCTGATATAGGATATTATCCCGTAGGGGAAATCCTTGTTCTCTCAGGAAATACCTTGTCCACAGAACTTGGGTTATTTCATCATCAACCCAAACGATTTCAGCCTCAGTTGAACTCCTGGTTGTGAGCTTCTGCTTGGATGACGCCGAACAAGGCGCACCTTGTCCCATGGTCATTGTCATTCCTGTATGACTGCGCATGTCTTTGTGCACAGCAAATGCTGCGTCGACATACCATCGCAACGACCCCGTTCCATCCATTCCAAGAAGCAAGGGTAGACCGATCGTTCCCCTCAAGTATCTCATAACACGGTCCAACTTCTTCCAATCGTCTTTATCGGGCTTTTGGACCCTTGTACAAAGGAATGCCACTGGCAGTTGAATATCCGGACGCGCACGCTTGGCTAGGAACAGCAGTTTCGCCGTATTCATATGAAACACGCTGCTGTCTTCCTCACTGAGATATTCAGGGCTATCTTCATTGACCGTGAATAAATGTTCCGCTGCCGGGGTAGTGGCCTGTCCCTTTGAGAACCCTGCGGGCAGCTCAGACAGGACGTTCTCAATGTAGTCAAACATGGTGAACTTCACCTTTCCTTTATTTGTAAAGTCAATAGTCATTCCCAGATACTCGTGAACCTTTCCCCTAGTCATTACCAGCGGGGTCACCTGTCCATATTTCCTGTTGATCTGGTCCAGTACAGACCCAACGACACTTGGGTCACGGTGGGAGACCTTAATGTCATCCACATGCCACAGTATCGTGCATTGTTGACCTGCTACTTGTTTGTTCATAACACACCAGTCGTATGGATTAACTTTGAACCCCCATGACCGGAGATCGTTGCTAAGCTTGACCCAAAACAACAGTGCCGCATTCAATGTTCCGTATATGGCCTTGAGGCACTCAACGTATAGGTATTTCCGGCCTCGTCTATCTGTCTTGACATGCTGGAGGTATAGCTCGGGCTCTATTTCGATGAGCAAATCTAGCATTACTCCATCCATCCTGAGATGTGTCTGTCCGCTCCGATCCTCCGTCTGCAGGAACGCTCCCGGTATATCAGCAGTGGCCACGTCCCTCTCCTCATATGCATCAATCATGCAGGACAGGATCAAGCCCTGTATAGACACGGTCGGCGACGTCGTATCTTCTTTGGTCATCCAATCGCGCTGTTTCCTTCCATCGGCACATCCCCGGCCTTTAATGTCCCCACTTCTCTTCTCCTTGAGAAACATAAGGTAGGCCAGGGCTCTGGATCGTTGCTTTGGCGTCATGTGCCCTTCAGATACTGGTTTGGCAACCTTCCGGTCGTGGAATTGTTGTAACTCTTTTCTTACCGCCGCGAGGCCCCTTTCACCAAAGATCTTCAGTCCGGCCCTCATTCCGTATTGAGTCAATAATATCTCATGAATCTGTTGGTAAAAGTTGTTTTCATCCTTGTTGAACTGAACAAGTGCATGAATCACCATCGCATACTGTTGTAGTTCGGTGTTGTTTTTACCGCGAATTGCATTGAGGTTATTGAGGTATCCCACCGTCTTGAGGTGCTCATATGAGGGCCCAGTGCGATCGCGGAGGTCATAGCTATGCCCCCCCTCACTGTCACTGCCATCTCCTGACCTCGCTCCCCCGGTAGCAACGTCATCTGCCGCCTCGCCGTCTTCATCGCCCACTCCTGCAATTTCGTGGGCTTCATCACCCACTCCTGTAATGTCGTGTTCCTCATTGTCCGGGGGGTCGGAATCGTTGTCCTCCCCGTCGGTACTAGTGTCTCCCTCTTCTTCTAACTCGAGTGATCCTAGTTCATCATCATCATCAGTGTCACCCTCATCCGCCGTTTCATAATCGGAATCACTGTCCTCGCTTTCATCATCGAGATCGTCGCCGTCACCCGGGGAATCTTCATCTGGTGTCTCCGTTTCTTGCATTACATTGCCGTTGCGGTCACGAAATTCAATCCCTTCCGGGTAGTTACGGGCCAGTAGATCAACCCTGTCCATTACGTCTGCTGGCATTGGGAGTCGTGTGCACCGGTTACGATTGAGCACCCGCCCTGTATGGAGGCTGTAAAAATAGTACCCTCCCTGCACGTTGCCGGTTGGTCTCAGTGCGAGTGCACCCACCGTCCGTGGGTGGCTTGTATCGTTATCGGTCGCTTCATGGGTCTGGACGTACTCCCCGAATCGCAATCTTAGATGCTTGTTAAAGTCAAGCTCATGTCCACTTACGATCGCCCTCGGGCTCATAGTACTGGACACACCGCTCTCTCGTGGGACAGAGTTCCACCAGAAGATCTGACTGGATACTAGCTCAACGGTCATTCTGCCTGGTAGTCGTTTGAAAGGAAGAGTGCATTGGATCCCCCTTACTCTCTCCTTGATCGTTCGAATGTATCGCTCGATCTCTGGGACATGCTCATCCTGTGATACGAAGTTTGGTGTGATCCCAAGCTTCTCAATACTATCCCGTATCGGGTTAAACTCATTGTCCATACTGATTGATGAGATTGTAAATCCTCTCTTCGAGTATGTGCGCTGAATGTGGACCAGACACTGTGCTAGTGTTGCTGCCTTGGCGTTGATGATCATCTCGCAGGTACCGAACTGTAGGTGTCGAGATATGGTGATGAAAAAACGAATCCCGTTTACATACATGATGTCCGCTGCGAGCTCCACTCTGGAGTAACGGCTGAGTATGTTGGGCGGCAGCGGTTGTACATCGACTCGTACATGTCTCTCGGACCGTCGAACCGTCTTTCCTTTTAATCCGACCAAGCTCGGCCCATATATCTGTTCTGCAGCCTTCACATCGTCTCTAGTAACTGTGCAGTTCTTTATGAGGTTATTATCGATCACCCGGAGCATTTCTTTAGTTGTGATGTTGAGTATGTCTTGCATTTTGCGAGCGTTTGCTGCTCGGCGTTGGTCAAGAGCTGAGAACTGGTCCTTGGCATCGCTCACGGTACTAATTCCGTTTTCCACCAGGATGATGGACGATTCCGTCTTCATGTTACTGAAGTAGAGCCCTCTGTTTGATTCCCGGAAGACACGGTACTTCGTCCCATCCTTACTGTACATCTTGAAGGTGTTGTCAAGCTTACTGTCGTAGGTTATGTGATGGTCCTTCTTCACTTGTGACAAAGACAGGATATTAGCGATCCCTCCTTCATGGTACCACACAGTTCCCACTCCTGGGAGCTCGCCGATCCAATTGGTGGTTGCTTTTCCTGCGTTGCAGTAGATAGTCATGTGTTCGTCAGTCTGCCTGATATTGGTGAGCAGTCTGGGGTTGCACATGACATTCACCGTCGATTGGTTGTCGAGCAGTAGCCAGTCGGGGTTGATAGTCCCTCTTGATTGACTGAGTATGGTGTCGTAGTTGATACTTCCGCCGTGTTTGGGTGAAGACATAGTACAGAACATTAGTTGGTATCTTTCGCCGTCGTCCTCATCGTACGTATCGATCACATCCCCTACTGTTAAGTTAGTAGTGCCTACTGTTTGGGTGGGGGTAACCTCCGGGGTCCGTGCGCCGCCAGTTGTTGCTGCGTCTCCTACTGTTGCCGCTGTTGCTCCGGTATCCACACCCGGTTGTTGCTCGTTGCGTTCAGCGGCATATGCGGCTATATCCGCCGGTTTGCACATGCCTTGCCACGAGAGGTGGCCGGGCTTGCCGCACCTGTAACATATGGGGGGTCCCCTGTTCCGTTTAGTATTCCCGTCCTGTGCAAACGCTATCCCGTCGGTACCGCCCGCTCGACGGCTTTGGAATCTGCTGTCGAGCTTGTAGTTAATGAGTAGGTTTTGCGCCTCAGTCAGCGTGGTTGGGTAGTTGTCTTGTCCCATGAGGTAGTTGTTCTCTAATTGCTGTTTTATCGCTCCGTGCCTGTTCTGGTTGCTGTTCTCCACGTATATGGTTGCCAGAGTGATCTCTGTTACCCGCTGTTGGACGCGAATCCTCGTTGCTGGTGTGAGGTCCTCCAGGCTAGCTCCATTGTGGTATTCTTGTAGTATGTAGTTTTCTACTCCAGGCAGCTCGAAGTTGGCCCCACATGCAGTTGATGCAGTTTGCATGTTTTCGAACTGTTCATACCACTCGATATCGGTCTGTAAGTCCCCTTGTCTAGTTCTAGTCAAAGTCATTAGGGCTCTTACGGCCGCCAGTGGTGGGAATTGCTGGGCCTCGTACTTGTAGCACACTTTCTTTAGGATAGTGAGCAATCCAATGGTATCGGAGTTAAGGTGAACTGTTTCATAGTCTTGATCTGTCGTAAGGCGTTGTATCATAGAGTCAGTACACTGCCCACGTATAACACTATACATCTTCTTCATATCATCTTCATATTGGAGCACTTTGTTTACGTGTCTGCGAGCAATTTCTTTGTTGACTATTGCGTCCATTGCGCTTGGTGGGGTGCTCGTAACTAGTGGAGGGCTACCCGCCAGTAGAACATTCCTAACGCATTGAACGCTGTCGATTGCTCTTCTGACTTCGGCTCCGTACTTCCTCCCAGCGTATAGGACTATCTCCTTCTTTGTTTTCATGTATTTGGTAGCTTGTTGTGGACCAATGTCAAAGATGAATCCTTCCAGATCATCACACCTACCTTTGAATGCTGGTTTAGTAGTGGTTGGCCTATAGCCCTTTTTCTTTCCACCTCGTTGTCTCATTGATCCCTGTTTCCATAGAGATCCGCCTCCGCCAACGGTGTCGGAGGACTTCTGTTCGTCTGGCATCTTTGCGGTCATGCCACTGCTAGTATTGCGTGCAGTGGGACCTTTGTTATTATCGCTAGTACTCATGATTTGTGTGATTCTTTTTAGTTTATGCTGATTCCACGTGCCAGCCCCGTAAAGGCATGGTCACAGAAAGTCTTAAAGTGATGTAACACTGTTAACTGGATAAACTAAAAAGAATGAGAATTCTCTTAAACTACTTTTGGGTCCTTCGGGTTCCTCCCCTGGACCAACTTTCTCTATGCCACTCGCTTTTTCTCATTCCACACCTATTTACCATAAATTGATGAAACCGCGCCATCATCTCGATTCGCTAACTACCGTTGCGGTTCGCCTCGTGTTAATCTCCGGGTTCCAACAGATTTCTGTAAGCAATACGCAAGCACTGTACGTACTACAAAGATTTCTAAATTCTAAGACGGCAAGTCGCTGATACAATTCGCATGAGCTGGGAAAATAAAGTACATGCGATAAATAGATTTTGATTTCTAAAATTTAATACGACAAGTTGCTGATACGATTTCCACTAGCCTATATGATTTCTAGATTTTAAGACGGTAAGCCGTTATTTTAATATCTTGAGTCGCTGGTACAATTCGCGCAATCCTATTCGATTTCTAAAAAATTTAATGCGGCGAGTCGCTGATGTAAGTCGCATGAGCCGGCAAAATATATCGGCACTTAAATATTTTAGCTCAAAATTATGTAGCAGACGACTCAAAACGAGAGCATGAGAGCTCGAGTCATCGTACTATTTTTGAACTATTTATTTTGGTGAATAAGAAGACGGCAGCAGATTTGCTGAGTAAGTCCCATCGAACTATTTATTTTGCTTCTGAGTCCCCGTACTATTTTCGACCTACTATATTTGTTTTGGTGGTGCAACGAAAAAACTGAGCACAGGCGCAACCGCAGGAGCCCGAGTCTCCGTACTGTTTTCGAACYGTAATTRTTGGTGAGTTAAAAGACTGAGCACAGGAGCAGCGCTTAGTCACCCTATTAGGACTTCTAGAGGCAAGCCCCGTAGTGACATGTTATTGGCAATTCCCCGGCTATCATTTTTTTTCATTTTCCCCTCTCTATTTCCCCTCTCCCCTCCCTCCACACATARCAATACTACCGTCCCTAAATATTTCTAGTAGTGTTCCTTACTGCTGGGGATCTAATATCATTGGTTACCACTTGAAATTTCCATTAGTGCTTACAACTGGATAACCTCTATTACTACTTACTACTAGGGGGGATGTTATATTAGTGAGCACTGCGAACCGATGGGTAAGGCCACTCTGTTGGTGCTGCTCCCGTCTCGCAGCACCGAAAAAAATTCTATTAGTGTTTGTACGGGAATTGCCAATAACTTGGCATGATGAGGCTTGCCTTTTTTAGTTCTACACCCTATGAAATCTGCTGATACGGAGCACAGGGGATATAGCAAAGCACATGTGTATTTTGCTGGCAAAATAAAATGTTTACRAAAGTTTACGCCTCACACATAGTACGACTCATACTTGTACCATCTTGATACAAAAGGCGGAACGGTATTGGATTTCCAACACACTTTTGTACTTTTTAATCGAATCAAACTGTTCGCGAATGGTCAACTTATTTGCTGAGCGAAGTACACACTATGGAGGATGGATACGGAGGAGGAGGGAGTACGGAGGAGCTAATGGACCTGCTGATAGGGATGGATACGGAGGAGCTTATGTAAGAATTTTACGTAGTAAGGAAATGGCTAAGGATCAT